TTCGAATGGTTGGGGGGTGGGGAGGGACGAGGTTGTGGTTAGAACGCTTGGTTGAGTGCATCAGACAAGACGACGATGAAGAAGAAGTGCTGCTGCAGAGTTAGTGCATCAGAGAAAACGAAGAAGAGCTGCTTGTGCTGTAGCGTCAAATTTTTGGCATGTTTAGAACAATTCTTACAAGTACAACACGACGTAGCTGGGCACCGCGGACAGACGCTGAACGGCGCCGCCGGTGTGCCAAAACTAATAGAAAATAAAGTATTCGAATTTTAAAGATGTGGCGCGACGCGACGCTGCCCTTCTCGTCCAGTGTGCGACCGCCTGAAACGCAGTTTTTTTCACCTCCGTGCCCAAACGTCTTTGTTTGGTCTTCCGAAAGCGGATGATGTCAGGAAACAGTGGTTGCAATTTATTTTTTAACTCTGTTCCTGAGCATTATAACCCCAATTTGCTATTGTGTGCTGCGCATTTTACCACGGACAGCTTCCACAACATGAGGGAGTACAGTGCCGGATTCGCCAAAAAGCTTTTGTTGAAAGACGGAGCAAGGGGCGTGGCAGTACTGAAACACCGTCTTAAGCTGTTCGCCAATCACAACGCACTGGGACAGCTAACCAATCACAACACAGTTTGTTTTTCGGAAGGTAGACCTTCGTCAAAGCCGGAACTAATCGAGCCGTTTGTGCCAGGCTGGGGAGAAAGGTATTTTAATAATGTAAATTATGTGAAAAATTATGCGTTTTTCGAACCACCAAGCATGAGAGCATGTTCTAGTACAGCCCCAAAACAAAATCAAGACTTTGTAAAAGAGCATAATAGGACCCCTTTAAAATTCAAAAAGCTATGATTTAATTACATTAATGTGAGTGCTACACATTCAAAGTCAAAACGTGGCACTGTTGTGGATGGTTGTAAGAGTGCATATTATATCTCCCTCATCTTTTTTAGTGAGCAGCTGAAAGTAGTAAAGCATAGACACTGGTTTATATTTAAATGTTCTGTATCATGCATAACCTTTTGGTATTTTGGATGCACAATAAACTATCTTGGTTTTAATGCATTGTAAACTTTTGTGGCTTCTCTCTGGTCTGCCCTGTAACAGGAAGAAAAGATTAGACATATTATTTAACACCTTCAGTATATACATTTTACTAGTATCAGCACAATAATCAAATAAATATTATGGGATGTTTTTTAGTTTTTTTTACAAAAGATTATATAGGTTTGATCTGTGTGTACGTACAGTATTTATTTTAAATGTGCAGGTCTTAAAAAGGTCTTAAAGTCTTAAATTTGATTTTAAAAACTCTTTAGATACCGTAGACAGACGGACAGATATTGGATTTTGTCAGTACTATAATAATGTGTTTAAAGAAAAGCAATAAATTGTTTATTTTGCCAATTATAGTAATATATACTGAATTATATAGTGAATGCTAAATAATGTTCTTAGTCTGTCCTCCTTGTGGCAGCATCGTCCAGGGAGGAACCATGAGATTTTATACTAAAATATATGTTACATAAAAAAAAAAAAGCATAATACAGAACTTTTTTTATAAACAAGCTCGAAATACACTAGGTCTCTTATTGGAGACCAATGGATGGATGGATGGGTAGATTGATTGATTGATTGATTGATTGATGCAATTAATATCAAGTTTAATCACCTCATTTTAAAGCAATACAAACCTCTGGATGCTAAAATGACCAATTAATCAGCTGGTTCTGAGACCAAGTAACCAAGTTAACACTGCTAATCTATATCAAACATTTAAAACATTGGGATCAAAAAGCCAAAACTCGTCATCAAACTATCACAGATACAAAACCGAGACTAATCCTCACAAAGTACAGACTCAGTCATCATAATCCTGCCATTGAAAGAGAGAGAGGGAGACTAAAGTGTGCAAGGAAAGAGCAGCTGGACAGACAGGAAGCCCACAGGCCATGCTGGAAAAGTTTAGATAACAGAGAAACCACATGGCTCTTACAAATCAATAAGACATATCCCCTCACTCAACAAGATAAACACACTCACACACATACAGAGGCTACCATCCAAACAACCTGAATTTTTAAGGAAATCTCAACCCTTCGGTTTGACTCACTCGCAAAGCCATTATTACTTGATTTGCTATTGGAAATCTTTGATGTGTGTGTGTGTGTGTGTGTGTGTGTGTGTGTGTGTGTGTGTGTGTGTGTGTGTGTTGTTGACGCAGTGCATTTGCAGTGTGTGTGTATGCCTAGAGAATGTGAGAGGTGACTAAATATTCATGCTCTCAAGACACATTAGCCTTTATGACCACTACAGACGGTCATACTGGAGAGCGTGTGTGTGTGTGTGAGCATTACTGGTGCTTCACAATAAATACATCTCGATATCATTGTGCCTGTTTGTTTTTATCTCATTTATCTAAATTAGTATGCATTACAGATCTCAATTAGCAATGGCAAACAATCAAAGCTGCCCTTGAGTTGACTCCATGCCACAGTTCAATTCAGTCAACTTCTCTATTTAAAACAGATATTTTTATCTCATATTTGTAGTCAGTTCACATTATTCCAGTAGTGCCAGAATACAAAACGGCTCCATACATCACTAAAGCTCACTGGCAGGGTGAAAATATCAAAAAGGAAAGTTGAAGAAAAAACACACACACACAAATAATTACATATTTATAATTATACTGTCATCTGTTTGCTGCAGCAAGAAGTGACTGGGGACGGCAGTTTAATTGTCATTTCTACTCAACATGTTCCTGCAGTGGCACACAGACAACACATATAGACTTTAGAGAGAAACTATAGCAGAAAAACCTGAACGTTGAAGATACAGACCATAAATTCTTGTCAACTCCTTTGTTAATATGCCAAATACACTCACAGAACATTACTCAATGAAGACTAGATGACAGGTTTTCGATTCTCTCAGGCAGACATGAATGACCGATTCACACACGAATGCAAAGGTTGCGTGTGTTCCCGGCTGCAAATGTCAGAAACTTTGTCCAGGACTCAATGCGTCTTTGTCTCCTTCTCAGAAGCGTATCACCTTTCATCTGCACGTACGCACATAAGCGCTCATTACCGTCGTTATGAAGGCATTTGAAAAAGAGCAGCCATTAAAACGAGCATAGGAACTTCAAAGTGTCGGAACTCATCATTCTCGTTTGAAACGGAGCGATGTGTTGGCAGTGCTTTGGTTGCTAAGCCAGTCTTCTGTGCTAGTCATTAAGCCCCTGAGATGATAGACTCAAGAATGTGCTATAGATTGAAAATCACTGCAGCATCCAGTTCGATCCAATCCCCATTCTTTCTTGAGCCTTCCCTTCTAGCTTCACGCTGATACGAGAAGATGAAAAACAGACTTTACTCATTACATTTGCAATCTTGACACCCTTATAAACATTTATAGAGTAGTCACATCATAAAAACGTTTGATGATGTTGCTGTTAATCTGTTTCTAATGGTAATTCATCCAGCCTCAAGCCAAATGGGCAATTATGAATGTCAGTTAATGTTTATGCGAGGTTGCAGTTCCCGCTGATGCAGACCTTTTGTAAAGGGGCCAGTATTTTTTACCATTGTAATCTGTGTATGTTGCAGGGCCGTAGAAGGCAGGACGCCTGTGAAAATGCTGAGCTTAACACACTCATACATGATGGAGAGGTGTACATTAAATCCATAATGTTCACCCTTTGCAGAACTGGCTCTTACAAAAGCAATTTTCTTGTAGGCATAAAAACAAGTGTTCGTTTGATTGATTGAATCTTCCAGCAACAGAATAAACGAAATACTTAAGACTGTCCTTTCCTGGCAAGTATGTTGTTTGTGGGACAAAATTTGCTGTGTAGATGTTATTTATATTTTTATTTGTTGTGTTGTATACTTTTTATAATAAAAAAAAAGCAATAACTGTTTTCAACATTGATAATAATAAGAACTGTTTCTTCAGCTCTTAGTCAGCATATTAGAATGATTTCTGAGGGATCGTATAATATATGTTTTATTAATATATTAATATTTGTATTTAAAATATTTCACAATATTATTTTTACAGTATTTTTGATCAAATAAATGCAGCCTTTATCACCATAAGAGACTTATCATTAAAAAAAAAACATTAAAAAAGTAAAAATCTTTCCGAACCCAAACGTTTGAATGATAGCATAGCATAAGTTCATTTGCTGCATGCCATAAACAGTTTGATTGATTTTTTTATTATTCTTAAAATCTATATTTAATGTGATGTTTTAAAAAGATGGTGTACCACAAAATAACGTCTTTCTATTAAGTTTTCCTCACAGACTGCATGCAAAAACAAACCAATGTGTTTGATTCAAACTGATGAGCTGCCTCTTTTTAGTGAATCAAAACATACAGCGTAATCAGTGTAAGCCAGTTCACAAAACGAGTGACTCTTATGAGCCTATTCTTTTAATAAATAGTTCAAAAAGAGTTATTGCTTTGAATCAATCTAAAACACTGTCCTTTATAATCACATGTACACAAAATTGACATCATAACCCAAATGAATCTGTTTTGTGAATCAGAATTGAATCAGTAAATCTACATTGTTTCCCATCCCTAGAGCTGTGATGTAGAGCCTAGATTGAGCCCCACTGTTCATTTGGCTGACCAGCCTTCTAATCTGCTTTGTTACATTTCTCGACACTGTTTCCTTCTCTTCTCCCCATCATTTCCTTTCCTTTTTCACCTAATATATTAATACAATCTGGTAAAGGGCCATAATAAAGTTGCATTATTTCCAAAGAGGCCCTGAAAAATATTAATTGAATAGTGAAATGTTTACATCAATATCAGAAGTGAATCCCCAAATCCCCTACAGCAATTACTCTGAGTCCCCAGTTTGCATGTCTGAAGAGTTATTCTTAGCTGACAGCTTGATCAAACAAGGTGTGACGCTTGTTTAATGATCTTTTTCACGGTCTTTGATTTGTCAGTAATTGGCATTTACTCTGCGGTTTCTCACAACACAGGTGCGTCTGTAACATCGACTGCTCCCACATCAGTTTTAACCCCGTGTGTGCATCAGACGGCCGTTCCTATGACAACCCCTGCCAGGTAAAAGAGGTGTCGTGTCAGCGGCAGGAACGAATCGAGGTCAAGTTCCTAGGTCACTGTCAGGGTAAGAAGAGCAGATTAACAAACATTTATGATTGCTTTATATCATTTTGTTACATGACGTCGTCTTCCATTCAATTTGCATTTATATAAGACAACAGAGAACACGTGTAAAGATGAACATTATAAATAACTGTTACATAATCAAGTTCATTCATGTTCATATGATCATTCGTCTCTGGAATATAGCAATTTCCCAGATGATATCTTCAAAATGACAATGTACAAATGAGGGGGGGAAAGTGTTGTATTATGTAACCAGCAGATCTGTTCATTTTAACATCTGCATTCATTCCTATCTTGTAGGCGACATGATTACAGGCACCAAAGCAGGAGACGGACAATATGCCAGGACAGACTACACAGGTGGGTGGGTGTTTAATTATAAAAAGTTGATTTTAATTTTGAAGTGCCCGTGAATTTTAGCTGTTCTGACCCACTGTGTTTGAATTATAGAGGAGAAGCCTGAGGTTTCAGAGGTGGCAAGAGGGCTGTACATCCCCTGCCCTGAGCGCTATAAGAACTATTGTGTTCACGGAGACTGTGAATATCCCAACATGCTCTCAACACCGTCCTGCAGGTACACACACACACTCATTATGTTTCTGATTACGGCAGTGTATCCTGTCTACAAAAATACATTGGGAATAAGTGTGTGTGTTAGACATACACCTTTTATGATAGTGAATGTAACACTGTATCACAGATCCTCGTCTCCCCCTAGTGTTCAAACCAAGAAAGATCTGCCTCATTAAAAAAAAAACAAGTTTTCCAAACACTCCCCTTTTTTCAGTGTTATTTTAGTATCATTGACATATTATTATAGTTTTTATTAGCTGTTTGAATTTGTTTGTATGCTTTTCCATTTTCATTTTTAAGTTTTAGTAATTTTGTTTTGTATTTTTTTTTATGTCTGTATAGTTTTTATTAGTTTTAATTATGGTTTTAGTTATTTTAGTGCTTTATTTAGTTAAATGTGGTTAAACTAAATGAAAATGGGGTATGTTTTCTTGGCAACTAGCAGAAGTAAAATATGTTTAAGTTTTATGGTTTGAGCTTTAGTTAACAATATTAACCTTGGTCTTTCATTGGTAGTACAAACAGATGGTGCTGTCACCAAAAAAAAAAAAAAACTCCAAATGTCATTGTTTGATTGTTACATTTTTTAAGGAATTCAATCTACAAGTCATTTCTACAGATTAAACTGGGACAGAAGAAGGTATTAAACAGGAATACTGCACACATCAGCTTATAAAAAATAATTGGCTGTTCAAGTTGTGAAACTCATATTAACAGTCACAGATAAACAAAAGAAAAGGAACTAGAGAGAAATAATAAGACAGAACAGGAGAGTCTCTCTGGCAGGTGCTGCAGTACAACAGCGGGTGTTTCTAAGGAAAGACTTTGAGAGCGAGAAACACTGAAGTATGTGTGTGAACAGAGATATTACAGAGAGAGTAGACTCTTTAAAACAACCTGAATAAATCAACAGAGGACTCAAGCACACACATCTAATCTAATAAGGATATAACGCTGTGTTTCTTCCTCTTTTCTTCAGCTGTCTCTCAGGATTCAGTGGTCCACAGTGTGACACTAAGGAGTATAATGTGCTGTATGTGGTGCCTGGCTCTGGAAAGCTCCGCTACGTCCTCATCGCGTCTGTCATTGGGATTCTGCAGGTGGCCATCATATGTGTAGTGGTGCTGTGTATCACCCGGTGAGTATAAACACACACCACAGCATTATATCACACACAATGTGCTACTGCGAAACAAAGCAGAGGACAGCTACCTCCTGGGTAGATAGATCGCACACACTCGCAGCTCTTCATAGAGTGAGAGTTCCTGCCAGCAGGAGTCTGCAGAATAACACACTTTACACTCCATGAAAGGTCATTGTTGAAGGGTGTGTGTGCACATAAAATAACTCACCCATCTCCTGTAATATTTACTTTACACATCAGAAAAGTAAATGTGTTCAATATGTTCAATCATTGTTAATTTAGCTTCATTGTCAGTATTCATTTATTTATTATTTTCTCCAGTGAAAGAAACAGCCCCTTTAGAACAAAGATTCTCTAACTTTCAAGTCATATCAGCATGAAACATTCTTTTAAAAACTTCCAATCCAAACTCTAAATAAGTAGCTATTTTATAGCAAAGGCTTTTTTTAAGCTCTGAAATATGAGTTTTTTCCTTCCAGGCATTGTTTTGATTAGAAATAACGTAGAGCTGCCTGGTGGAAGTAAGTTATATGAATGATAAGGATGTCCTTTTGCTTCCTTCCTCTGCAGGAAGTGCCCACGGACCAACAGAATCAACCGACAGAAGCAGAACACAATGCACTACAACTCTGAAAACACCCTGCGCGCCTCCACCCGCCTCATTTGAGCCCGTGAGCAGAGAATCATGGGAAACGTAGTTTGGACAGAGGACAGAAAATAAGAAACTTGCTCTCCATCCCCACAGAGACACTGCATCCTGCTGGATGATGGGATGGAGGGATGGAGGACCATGGTGCAGATATATCGGAGGACGATGGGTTCTACACACGATGCCTTGCACCTGTGGCACAGGACACAAACAGAGAATTTTAGGACACCATGATAGGACAAGTCCTGTTATTTGGTTATGTATGGGTAATATTTCCAATAGTTAATTTGTTTGTCTTGATGGGGTCCTTTTTCTGTAATGTAAATAAATAATTTATATCACAAAGCACAGTGTGTTTTTTTCTTTTTCTTTATTCTTTTGTGGATGCCATGCCTTTTAAAGGATCTAACTTGAAGGTATATGGTCAGTTTCAGGGGTTTCTAGAGAGGTGATTCAACAATTTATTATAAATAAAGATTTATTTTGCTGTTTTTAATGTTTGGTGTCCCAGAGACCCCAATCATGTAAATTATAGTTTAAAAGTTTGATATCAGCAACATTTACAAAATAAATAAATAAATGAAAAGATATTCAGAAAGGACACATTAAATTGTGACAGTAAATACATTTCTAATGTTACAAAGATTGTATTTAAAATAATGTTGTTCTTTTGAATTCTTTGTTCATTAAAGAATCCTGTAAAAATATGTCACAGTTTCCACAAAAATATTAAGCAGTGCAACTATTTTCAGCATTGATGATAATAAGAAATGTTTCTGAATTTCTAAATGTTTCTGATTTCTGAAGGATCATGTGACACTAAAGGCTGCTTTGCCAACAGAGGAATAAATTACATTTTAAAACAGAGAATGGTTATTTAAAATTGTAATAATATTACAAAATATAAGTCTTTTTACTGTATTTTTGATGAAATAAATGTAGCCTTGGTGAGCATAAGATGTTTCATTAAAAAAAAAATAGGGGTAAATTTCAAAATTATCATTATTTTCCTCTCAAAAAAGACTTATCCAATATAATTTTAATTATCTTTGTTTTCTTTTGTGGCCATTTTTACCCCAGCAAAAACAGAAAAGGCAGAAAAAAATGGAAAAAAAGACAAATGCACATTAATAGTGTAGCTTCAAACAAAACTAGTAATTACACATGATACTGTCGGTAACTAAGTTATTTTAATAAAAACATTTTTTTTAAAAACAGGAGAGATAGAGAGAATATACTGACCTTTAAAGGTCATGTGGAGGCCGGGACCCTTTAGGACTAAGGAATTCCGGACGTTCCTACTTCATCCCCAGACCAGTCCAGTGGAGTTCCTACACTTCCTGTCTGACAGTCAGTGTGCCACAGGGGTAAGAGAGAGCCTTAATGAAAATGAGTATACATTTGTATGTTTGTGTTCTGCTTCCACTAAGCAGACCCTTTATTCTCAGGCTCAATGCAGGATGGAATTGTAGCCCTGGTGACACTGTGATGCAGTAAAGACTATGAATTTGGTATATGATTTTCACTTTGCTTTCTTGGTCGACTAATAGAGCTCCAGTCAAACAGGACTAAAGTGAAAGAAGAGGTACATAGTAGACATACTTTGCATTCTCAGCAACGCTGAATCAGTTGCCAAGCCAGTGAAGAAAGCACTTATCTGATCCATTCCACCACCTTCATAAGTCTTAACACAAGTTTACAATCAATACATTTGCTTTTAGTTGAATGCCATTATTTCATTGTATCTCAGTCTCAACCAGAACCATTACAAGCTTTTGAACCAAACCAGAAATGTATTCCTTTTTACTTATATTACACTGGACGTCATTCAGCACACAGTAGCCATTTAACAGTGATTCATTTTTTTAGCTATACCCTGACCTGGCTGGGAAGCACTGCTTTAAAATATATAAATAAAAATAAATGTGATTTATGAAATGTGAAACTTGTGACATTCTTCACAAAAATAAATAAATTAATAAAGCAAGGGAATGGCATTTAATATGGGTGGGTAAGAGGGCTTTGAAAAATACTGTTTTTCAGGGCCATCAAGATTTGAGGGAAATTTGTCAAATTATCTCTCAATTTTTTTCCATCTACTGCTTTTTTCATCACTGGTCAAAAGGTCCTAGAGGCAAAAGAAAGAAATCGGTCTGCTATCATTCAGCTAATGAAGACTGAAGTCTTTTTCGTTTTCATTACTGTGATGCCACAAGCGCAATCTCTCACAGGCACCGAACAATTTGCATTCACCTAAGAGTCAAACTGAAGAACCTGTTACAAGCGAAGCCATCCAAGTTTTTAACAAAGGTAGCAATTATATATAACACAGGCATAACTTTAGTGTGCTTTGCAGTGACATGTCTTTGCATACTCAGGAATTTTCCCATGAAGCTGAAGCACAAATCATGCAACGCTATTTGAGTGACATCTCAATAACAGTCACGAATAACACGAAACTAATAAGAAAAACGATTAAGATTAAGAACGACTATAGAAAGACAACTCTCATTAAACAGAATCAACAACAGGGTGTTTTTACGTAACTGACAGGAAACTACACATTACTGAGATGTTTTACAGTATCATTATCCAGCTGCAGCATGCATTCATTTACTGAAACATTGTCACATGTGGTCCAAAAATATAATAATTTGTCCCTATCATGCACTTATTTTCTTTGCTTTCATGTTTTGTGGTTTGTAGTCTCGACTGGGTTTTTGAAATACCAATGCTAAACCGAAAGTTTGTTTATTTATTTATTTATTTTATTGTATTTATTATATTTATTTTTAGTGCAGTGAGTACCTTCTACCTGCAGAGGTCAGGCCTCACTGCACTATGCAATGGCTGATTATGGAATAGCTTAAGCCTTAAGAAACTAGAAAGCTTTTTTAATGGGATAATTCACCAAAAGAAAAAGTGAATTCTATTGTCATTTATTCACCTTCATGTCAGTCCAAACCTGTATGACTGACTTTCTTTTATGGAACATAAAAGAAGATATGTTGAGAAATGTCTCAGTGTTTTTTGTCCATACATTGGAAGTCAATTGTCACCAAAAAATGTTTGGTTTCCAACATTCTTCAGAATATCTTTTGCGCTCCACAAAATAAAGAAAGTCTTACAGGTTTGGAACGATGTGAGGGTGAGTAAATGTTTTTGGGTGAACTATCCCTTTAAGTATATGTGATTTGTTTTGGCCTGACCTATCTGTCGATATCCATGTGTGGATGTGGGGTCACTTGGGTGATGCTTTTTGATTTGTGTAGTCTGAGCACACGACAGGAGAAGACACATACCCCACCAAACTACAACATAGGAAACATAAGCAGTGGTTTTCTGTGCTTATGTATGTGCATGCAGGCAGCCTGAGCCTAGGAGAGGGAGGTAATCGCCTCAGTCTCAGGAAATGAACGGATATGGGAGATAAAGTTTATTTTATGTTAGATTCTTGTCCTTGTCCTTTGATAACACTCCCAAACAGATATCTAAGTTATGCATGTTATTCTGTGCTAATGATTGTCATTATCCAGAAAATGACCTCTGGTCAGCTTGTTCATCTTTGAGAAATCACCACACCAGATTTCCAGGTGATGTGTTTACTTTCATGGTCACGGATCTATGAATGAGGTAGTGTCTTTCCTTCTCTTTGTTCATTCAGACTATTGAGCAAGAGTCAATACATTGTTAACATTCAAAGTCTGACATTACCTCGAATAAATCATAAGAAGTAATTTACGCACTTTATTTCATTTTTAATGCACTTCATTTTATGATTATGATTACTGTGAGCTGTCTGCTGGATGTCCTTTGTTTACTGTACTTCCACCCTGTACAATTAGCATCAAAGTTATTATAACATAAAATATGTTGCTTGTTCTCTCTGTGAATAATGTGATGATTTTTTTTTTTTTTTTCATTTCAGTTTGTTTATTTTATTTTATTTTATTTAAGTTTATGGTTTTCATTTTAGTTCACTGTAATAACCCTGGTCTAAGCTGATCTTTTCCATATGATAAAAGTGAATGATTACCATATTTTAAAAGCTTGACGGCCTCTGGTCTCCATCCAGTTTCAGTGTATGGAAAAGAGCGGCATGAACATCCTTCAAAACATCTCTTTTTGTGTCATATAGTTTGGAACAATATGAGGGGATGAGAGCAAATGATGACAGAATTTAATTTTTTGGACAAGTTATCCCTTAAACGTGGCATTCATGCAGTGTTTGTTTGTGTTTGTGTTTGTGTTTGTGTTTGTGTGTGTGTGTGTGTGTGTGTGTGTGTGTGTGTGTGTGTGTTTCAGGTGGCCCAGACTTCCTGCAAACCACTCTTCACCCCTGGACTTCGGGGCCACACCTGTCAATGACAGTAAGGAAGGCAAAGTGTGTGTGTGTGTGTGTGGTTTGAGTCTGGCATGGTGCCACTGCCACAGATGAGCTGAGTTCACTGTTCAAACACTGATTTTCATTTTTCCCTGTGTGACATTTCCCCAGTCTGCCAGACAGCTAAGACGAGAAACGCCAGCAGAGATTCATGAAGAGACGTTCAGGTGCATTTACACAGACACAACAACATTTCCCTGAAACAAACATTCCTGTTGCTGGTGTTTCTGAATCTGACATTTGATACAAATGACAAACAAACATTTTCAAAACCATTACTGATAGCAAATTCAAGCTGATCAAACAATACTGAAATTGCATCGAGGGAAAATGCACACCTGCAGTAGCACACTTTCACACTGACACTCTTTACTCACATTACTCTAAAGGGCTGAGCTAAATACCACGGCAACCAGGCCCCTCCCCTGGGTGTGTGGGGAGTTTTAAAATGGAGTGTTGGGAATGCTGTTTTTAGAGAGGCGCAGAAGGCAGGAGAGTGTCTGTGAGAGTCAATCTAACCCTGTCATTCAAAACCACCAGCGTTGACTCCAGGATGGGTGAAGACTCCTCTCATGCAGAGCGAAGCACAGCTACCTTACCCAGGGAGGAAAGCACCCCGACACCACCAGTTCCAGATGCTCAGGATCTCCTCATTCCGAGCTTCAGTCCCGGCTCGGTGCCCTCTTCCCCCGTCCACACCCTTTCCCGTCTGGGCTCTAAGTCCCCGACCATCCCCACAGCCCCTGCCGGCCAGGTCAGCGCCATCACGGTGGTGGCTCTGCTCGACAAGCTGATGGTGATGATCGAGACAGTGCAGGAGAACCAGCAGAGGATGGAGAAGAAGCAGGCCGAGCTGGAGGGGGCGGTGAGGATGGTGCAGGGTGATGTGACCCGGCTCACCAAGAACCACATGTCCAC